TTGATGTAGAGCTTTCTAAGAAGGAAGATGACGTTCTAGAAAACCTATTAGATAAAATCTGATTGTTACAGATTCCTAATGATACGAACATAACTGGATTATTTATGTGGATATGAAATTGGTGAGTATTTTGCTGTAATGTAATGAAAAACAGTTTATTTTTGTTTCGTATTTAATGATGTTAATTTAAAATCTTTGTACATGGAACGTTTCTTCATGCCTCCATATCTTGGTCGTTTTGAACACCACACGACTGGTAGTATTCGATCCGGTATGTTTTCTTTACGAACTGAACGATCGTTTTTGCAACCACCGCGACCCGTGTCTTACACATTGGTCCCGAGGCAAACGGTGTGTGGCACTCCATTTCGATTCGTATCGGAGTACTTGCTTAGGCACCGGTAACCGATCTAACGATACATTTCGCTAATTGCCTGAATTTATGTGCGGCGTCGATGAATCGCGGTGAGCGGTCTCGCACCATTGCCCGGACTTAAGAGATAGCATCTGGCGCGAGTTCGACCCGAACCGGTGCGTCAACAATGCAATAATTAACGAAATATCACGATCTCGGCCCGTCCAAACGACCGCGGCCGCTGACTTATGTCCCAAATGGGCCGTAATCTTCGGGGAAAATGGGGCTACACCGGCTTAATGGGCGCCAACTTGTTGATTTTTTTTTCATTCTCTTCGCTGAAAGGTCGTCGATGTCCATGTCTTGCTGGGAGTGTATAGTGTACGTACATAATAAGGACAACGAATCGAAGTCAACCGATAAATTCACTTGATAATATATTTTAACTGAAAAAAATTTCAATACTAATAGTGAACGATGTAATTTAATGAGAACATATTTAAGTAGTTTATTTATCTTATTATTACATCCAAAATAGATATTCTATTCTATATAAGCATTCTTCAACGTTAAAAGTCAAAGTTTATTCTTTAAATTAAGCCTTCAAAAAAGAGGTTATATAGACATTTTACATATTGACATATTTACTTATACATTAAGCTACAATTCACATAAATTAACAGCTTTTAAATCTCAATACATAAAGAAAAAATATTGATGTTTTAAATTTAAAATTTTAATTCAAGTTCGTCGATGATGATTTATTCAGGTCCCATCCGGTAATATAGAGTCTTGTAACTTTGCGACGTTCCATAGTAATTGGGAGCTGAAGTAATGCGGAAAACGCCATTCATATAACAGAAAGACCGGGGAATTTCCAATTAGGAACGACGCATACAAATGCAAGTTTATATCGTTCGAGAGCGGATAACGCGAAAATATTTGAAACAACCCACATATGTAATTAAAGTAAAGTGTTGCCTGGAGACGTTGGAGACACTCTATAACCACCTCTATAGTGAACCATAAACCCATAAACAAACCGTATATGGAGCGGACGTTTCGAAATATCCAACGGTAATTATTCCATTATTCGATTTCAACATTTATTTTCGTCCCATTGATTTATTTATCAAAACAAGATTTTACATGAAAAAGTCCTTACAGTTTGTACGTGAGCTTTTCTTAATTTTTAATTAAATTCCAACGATCTTTTACAGCGAAAAGCTTTAACCTTTTCTCGATTCTCGTTTTAATCCTTAATTGTTACCAACAAGATTTAAATGTTAAAAAATACTATAATAAGAACGGTAATGTAGAATATTTAGTAGTTTTTTTGTTGTTGTTGTCGTTTCGGACGGTTTTGGAATACAATAATAGCCACTACCGGATCCAATCTGAATAAATCATAGACTACGTTTTGTCACCGTCCAGAATTGGAGTCGGCGAAGATCGTGAGGTGCATTGTCATTGGCCCGTGTGTAATCGTTACCGGTAACGATGTGAATTCCAATGATAGATGACGGCACGATCTCAGCACAAGAAGCAACGTGCTCTCGTCGACGCCCTATTTGCATCGAGTTGTCTCCGTCAGTGTTATTTATACCCTGATCTACATACGTTCATTATGTATCGGTCTAATAAAGCGAGCCTACAGTGTCGACGTGCAGAATTTGTAGTAATTTTCTGCGTTATTTCGTATGTAAATTACGATATTTTTTATAGAAACGCAAGATAACTTACAAGTTTGCTGAAACGTTTGATGTAGATTTTACGTGCTTTCGTTTCAAATGCATCAGAAATGTATGTATTATCCATACTTACTCTAGTTTTATTAGTTATTATCATGTATATCGTAATGTTATTCAAAACGCAAGGTAAGAAGATATAAATTATTCCGACTATTACATATTAATAACTTCCTCTGGTTTTGACATTATCATTATTTTTGATACAACATTAATGACAACTCAAACAAATATCTATTTAATTGGTGACATCTGTAGAAAGATTGCAAAAGATTTTTTTCATTAATTGCGTTAGTTACCATTAATGTTAATTAAATAAATTAAAAAATATTAACTCGTTTTACATCCTCAATAACATAAACGCGACCCAAATTTGGTGGATATCCTTATAGTAGATTTCCTCTCCACAATACCTTGTACCAAAATTACATCCAGATTGTCATAATTGTATCCTCCGCATGAAACACGGTTGTTCTATTTTTGGACATCCGCATTTCATCTTAACAAAAAAAAATTTAACGAGACATTAACTCTTAAAAAAAACCTTCGTATTATACACGCTCCGAATTGAATGCTCTATAAAAGTGCCCGTTTAACATCTGACGCTGATTACGTCCACATATGGATATTGGGCCGGTTTGAAAATTATAATTATTGTAGCTTCCGTTTTGTAAACAGTGAAGGATGTTATTAGTAGTGTGTTTAAAGTGTCTGGAAAGAACTAGTTTTTTTAATCCTTACTGATTGAATGATTGATTAATGCAAATTGAATTGGAGTTGTATTTCGGTTTGGATATTGGTCGCTTTATTTTTCTATCGTGATTAATGATTCACGCACGGTAGCCCTTGTAATAAATCGTAAAGAATAAATTATAGGTTTTTCGTTTGATATTGATAAAGGTTAACTTTTTGCGCCATAGGGGGCGTTACCTCTTCGAAGGGGTGTTATTAAACATATCTTTGTGGTAAATCTGACCTCATTTATTTTCAGCTGGGACGAAAGTCAGGTATCTAATCACACACACCCGCATAACACAATAGTTAAATTCTATGTGATAAATGACTTAATCTATAGGTGTATATGAAGAAACAATGCCTTAAGGTTAACGTCCTACCCAACCTATCTTTGTGTTCTTTTCAGTTTTCTTTCTCTCCACCTTTGGTTTTCTTCGGTTGTCTGCTCATTTATTTTCTGCAGCAATGATTTCTTTTCAAAAGGAGCCATTTACGGACAGTCGTTGTTGCAATTCGATTTCGTGATTTAAACAAAGCCATTTCAACGTAAAAATCGATCAGCACACCGTCAAGAGCACTATGAAATCTCGCGGTATAACGTTTAAGTGTAAGTCACGATTTAGGCCTTTTGAAATTTTCGCCTCGAAGGAGCACGCGTTAGAAATGCGAGGTCAGGTCAAACTATTTCCAAATCGGTGCCGAATTTCTGTGGTATCCAGCAGAGATCATTAGTTTGCGTACTAATTGAGTGAGTCATTTTCAATTGTAACTATATTTCAATACGGTGACGGTTGTCCGAGGAATTCCACCGAAGAAAACGATGGTTAGTGGTCGAGTAGAGCATCATTCCTTGCAATTAGACCGCCCGAGATATAAACCGACAAGGATAGACTGAATTAATATGCATTAGGCGCTAATTGAATCTACTACGGCGTAGATACCGTGTACCCTAATTTACATACTCTGTTTTAAACATTGTCTACGTTATAGATAAGTGGCATAAATTAGTTGACGTCTAATTAAGTTCGTTTCTGTATCACGAAATCACTAATGATGTTTTAAAGCTGGTTTATAGTGTACTTGATCACATCGTACTCACGAAACATCAAGTTGTCCAAAAAAATATTTATTAAGTAAATAATTTCACCTTGTAAATTGTAGTTTCATAAACCACTAATTGCAACAATCTTTCAACAAAGGAAGACAAATCAACTTGGGCGGCAAATGGCCCCGTTTCGCAAGTGCAAACCAAATTACGTCTGTTCGAAGATAGAAATTTCGTAACCAATAGCACGGCAAAATTTATCAAATCCTGAAGGTCGTTCGGCCGACTTCGAAACTCCCATGTAGACAAATACTTTAATTGCTGGGTGCAAAACATCGTTACTCAATCTTATACCGTGTGTCCCACTAAAATCGAAACTAAGAAGCAGCGAGTAGCAAACGAAACAAGATCACCTAACGTAATACACCGCAAAGTTAATGAACCACAATTACGGGCATTACCGGTTGAGAAACTTGCGCGGGGCCCACGATGAAGAATGCGAATTCAGACGTGCCCTCAACGGCGGATACCGAGAACGCGGCGCCGTTTGAAGGAGATCCTAACCGACCCCGACCGAGGTATTGCTTCACTTTGCCATTTATTCGCCGAGACGAACCTCATTAATAATACCGAGAGTTAACTTACGAAAGATCCCAGATGTGTCGATATGATAAGAAACGTCTTTGATTTTATTTTTTCACATTAAAATTAAACAGAAATAAATATTAAGTGGAAGATACATTTGGATGGACAAAAATAAGTGCATTTTCAAAATATTTTTTCATTGAGACAGGTACATAAATCGTTTCTAAAAAATTAACAACATTTTTAAGAATATTCTAGGATAGTAGTTCAATAAAAATATATAACAACCTGGCGCTGAATAACAATTAACACTAGATCTAGAACTAGAACTAACACTAAACCTGGATCTAACTCTAGACCTAGAACTAGAATCATTCTTGTTTTGCCGTTCCTCTTTCAAGACGGAGTCGTAGAGGATGTTTAAATGATCTGATCCAGCTCTTTTTTAAAAGTTTCAAATGTATTAGTATGACTAAATCTTCGTGCAAGTCTATAATTAAAGTCTTAGCAATATCAATGTTCTTATACTCACCACAAACTTGAGTTGAGCGTACCGTGCTTGCGGTTGATTTCCTAGAATAAAAAAAAAATAATAGGTTATAAACAGTGGAATTTTTCTATTTTTAAGTTTCTTATGCAAATATATCATTAAAAAAAAATATTCCCATGGAAAATTTCATTGAAAAATGTTCTATTTCATAAACAAATTCTTACATTAATAACACGGTAGATATTACGGCGCGATTAATTATTGAGAATAAAAAGGAAATTACGTCCGCGGCAATAAATTACACGTTAAAAACTACATTGACTAATAGCGGTCGTTTAATCCGTATCAGTGACAGGTTATATGAAGTTAGCTCACTGTAAAAAGTGCCAAAGATACCATCTCTGACATTATGGTAGAAAAATACGCGGCGTTTTAGGAGCTGGTATTTTTATAGTCGAGATCAAATGGTCGAGATTACAACGTCGAGTTTTATTTCTAGGAAATGTACCACTACTACAAAATGCAATTGTCCTTAAATACATCTTTCGTGATGAATTAATCAACAAATCCTTAAATAGATGTTTTTGTAGCATTTCCGTGCTCAATATTATAATATTATTCAATGTAACCTGATTGATATGATTTAGACCACTAAAGTTGTATCGTAATTCAGGATGTAAGAGATTATCATGTTGAAGCATTAACTGTATATTTATTACATTTGCGACATAATAACTAATCTAAATAATTTAAATTAAGGTTAAAGATTAATTGGAATATCTAACGGTGATTTCGTTTATTTAAAAAATTACTTCATATTTATTTATTTTAAGCAATGACGAATAATACGCTGACATCATGTGAGTTGAAACTTTCTCACGATTAGCCGTGGACTCAAGGTGCTAAGGGCACCTTTACCTCCATAATATATCTTTAGTGTCATAATCGTGCCTAATTTCACACAGACCGTCGCTAAATAGTGAGCGATCTATCTAATTCCGTCGCGGGGAGAGAAAGACACATCTCGGTACATTAATCAACGAGAATGCGTTTCCTACTTCTCGTCCTCACCCGGAATGTGAACTCTCTACTGTAATTTCATCTACTTCCGTGCTGTTACAATTCACGAGTTGCAATATTAGATGCTCTAGAGGCTAATGAGAATCAATCCGGAGGAGCGTATTAACACATCTGAAAGAATGATGATGTTGTAATTTTCTATCTAAATTAGATTTCGATTAAAATAGACCGAAGATTTCTTAATAACACTTATCTTTTTATTGTGTGAAATAAGTTCGAGTTTAATGTTTTTGTGTTAACATTCTTTAGAATGGATCCAAAGATTTCTTAAGTTCAATCACTTAACCGTTTATTGTCAATATAGTTAATAGGCTAAGAGTTTAGGGTGCGTAGGCGCCAACGATCACCGTCCTTTTGTCGAATCGCATTAGCGTTGGATATTTCTCACAAGAGTTGACCTCGTTCCTTGGTCGGGCAGGGTTTTGCAAGAGATCACTGCGAAAGATCATTACGGTTCAAAAGTGCCGCATCGCCCGGAGAACCGCTTCACACAGTACATTGGTTTACAGGAATGTTCCTGGTGGACTTAAAATTTGACAGCGTAATTTTATAGCCGGTGCTTGTTAGATTTACCGACACTAAAGCGCGTTGAACGTTATACATACTTACTTAGGTATAGGTGCACACGTAACTTTCAGCTTACGAAACATTTTACTGGGACTATTTCGACTTGACTATCCATTATGACAAAATAAACATCTTTTTTTAAAAGACACTTTTTCTTAAAATCCAATCTAAATTAATTAAACTAATTAACATCGATAAAACACCAACTCACACAGGAAGTTAGTGAAACGCTCGATTAAAGCTGTTTGCAAGCGAATAAATCGAATTCACATATTGAGGAAGTGATAAAGCTTATAATGCATATAATCAGTAAAACAGACTAGAAACAAGTTACTAGCGTGATGGTTATAATTGGAAAACAAGGATGTATCCCGCTGATAATGTATCCAATATCAATTAAAAATATTTTCTTAAAACATCCAAATAAAATCATTTTCGTCGTTGTTAACCTACTTTCGACGATTAGCATAAGTTATCAAATTCGTTACAGTTTACAAGGTGGTTAATTAAATTTATGTAATAGGTAAGTAATTATGTTTTACAATTTAAATGGTTGGGTTGCACCACGCTAAAATAATATAGATAGTAAACAAATACTAATTTGTATCCGGCTATTATAATTGTTATAGTTACAACATTGAAAGCGGGTGTAATTCAACTTATTAATTAAAAGCTTAATTAACGTTGATAATAAATTAAATTAATTGATGTTTAATTACAAATTAATTTTTACCCTTTAACATTTAGTCTGCTTTATGTCTAAATCAAAGTTTTTTTTTTACAACAAAAAGTAGAAGTAAAAATACGACATTAAAAATGTAGCAAAATAGCAGCGGAGGTCAATCTGCTTTATTAATGAGATAATAGCTAAAGTGCTACATTATACACCATTAAAGAATAAGACTGCCATCAGATAGGCATTCCCAGAAGTACTGTTGAAAGAGTTCAAAAAAAGCAATATATCCCTCAAGACTAATTGGCCTATCACTGCTAGTACTGTATTTGACAAGAGTTTTTGACTGGAATACTGTTGACACAAATTGACCATGATGGTTAGAGATATTATTTATGATGACTCCAGACCCAACTACGTTTTGTTCTAATTTAACAAAAATATTGTCAAGACAATTTTTTCCCCGAGTTAGCTGTAAGATTGTCGCAGAAAAACCAAAAGCGGAAAACCCCATACTATGGCTATCGAACTATGTAATATCACACGTGCCAAATTTCACATTAAAATCACCCATGACCGATAAAGAGATAGTAGCCGAGGTCGCTTGCGGCCGAGGCCTTACAATTTACTTCGATGTAAAGTTGGTGGTCAAGATGATAAAATATACCTCGCTAAAGAGATACTAGCCATACTTAAAGAGACATGCAAGCTAATTTATTGTATTCAATAGCTATTTCGCTAAGCTGTTTTATTATAAGTAAAGCGTCTAACGTTAGCTTACTTCGAGAATCTTTGTAAATAGCGTCAGTGTCGAGCTTGGAAGGCTTATTCATTGTAGACTACTTAGAGCTTGTTGCAAGTAAAGTGCGAAAAGTGCATAAAGTAGCAAAAGAAAAATTAGTTAAAAATCAATAAAGTATTTAGGAATAAATAGAATTTCATTTAACTTTATTTTCTTATACGAAGTTTTGAGATTAACCATACCACCAGTAATAAAATAATAAATTCCTGTTACTATATTTATCCGGTTTATTTCTGATAAATATACGAAAAGACCACCGGCCTCAAATTCTAAGCAGCTGCACATCCGTTCTTCATTAATCAGTAAGGCAATAAACTCTCTACTTTTATTTACAATGTTATCAAATAACTCCCTTATTGAGGTCACTCCAATCTCTTTATCATATAATTTCATCGTATTCACATTTATCTTTTAAACTTCACACATGTAATATAAAGCAAATAAAGCTTTTATTTATCAGTGGCTAATATGAGTTAATAATTCATACTCCTTTATTGCTTTGAACATGTAATATGATATAAATATTGTAGGTGTTCACATTACTCCTTGTCTATTATTTATAACCTATTTTATAGTTACAATCGTTACTGAACGTTCTGCATATTCAGTTGTAATTCAGAAATCGTTGGAATAAAAATATCAATATAAAGAATTTCCTGGACTATTAGTACCTTCACTTGTCATATTTATAACTTGGTCATAGATTTACGTATTATAACGATCTGAAAAGAGAATGCATTACATGTATTTGAGAGCTACTAAGATCTCTTTTTAGCACCGTTAGGTGTTTGTGGCGATATAAAATACCGTCAAGTCGTGAGCCGCTTTGGCATCGGGAAAAGTACACCGAACCACCTGTTTTGAGGTAGGGCATTCTGTTCTGTTCTGTTCGGTCGGTCAGGTCTCTTTTCATGCTCTATTACCATGGGTTTTGCCATCGTAAATTTTTGCCAATCCACGCTCCCCGCTTTATTAATGACTGGGACGCGATTATTAACGTGCGTTTTTCACAATACTGTTATTTATTATCTAGGTTAAACGCTGTGTGTTTGAACACTGGTCCGATATCAATCATAATTTCTCGTTAGGAACAAAGGATCGTTAATTACGTTCCGAGAGTAATTCTTCAGACCCGCTACGTCCGATGCAGACGTGTGAGAGGTCTATACGTATCTCTACTCTACTAAATCTACTAAAAAGTATATGCTCTACTAGTAGTGAGATAATGCTTGTTAGTACTTTTGATGAACCGTTCGATTGTTCTAGATTTAATAAATTATTAAACGAAAGGTTACACAATTATTGATGTTAACCCATTTTAAAACTACAACTAACACTGGAACTAGAACTAGAAAGATTTAGGTTTAGTTGTGCGTCTCTCAAAACGGCTAAATCAGAATATTTCTAGTTCTAGGTCTGGTGTTACTTGAAGTGATAGTTCTAGGTAGTGCTGGTTACCATTATAACTAACACTGGACCTAGAACTAAAGACGCACGGCTAAACCCTAATGTTTCTGGTTTTAAGTAGTAATAATTGTGTAAAAAATGTCTGTTTCGCTCCTTATTGAAAGAGTGAAAATGTCTACGCATATCTGAGCTTATGACGCAAATGGGTTAAGGGTGACACAATAAAATCGTTATCGACCTAGAACACTCCCACAACTATTAAAAAATGTGGCGATAAGAAAGCGAAAATTTATTCAACTCCGCAGGTAGAACGGAATTTTGATTAATTTGCTCCAGCAACGACACAAGAGGCGACAATGCTGCGATAAATCGCGCTGACAATTTCAAAATAAGTCTCCGCCCGCCAACCGGTAATCGATTAAAATGTATGAATAACAGACGCGAAGCTGGACATTAATCAATCTGCGTGCTCGAAAAACGCGCGCACTTTTGCTTCCCAACGAAAACGACTTCATCGACACGCATTCCCGGCGGCGTGTCTTGTGCAAAAGGCG